TCCCCGACTCTAAGGGAGAGAATAAATGCACTACTTCTCAGTGCACTTTCAGGGGTCGCTCACACACTCCTTACAAACGGATACTATTTAGTGCAAGAATGAATTCTTCCTTTCTCTCGTCGGATTGGGAGTGGCATGCGAATGCTAAGCCAACAAAATGAGATTCCAGGAACCTTTCTTTGTGACCTTTAGAAAGACCCCTTCCCTTACTAGATCAAATAGGGCTTATTATTTAATAACCGGGAGAGAAATGCAACTACGGGATAAAAGCTGGGTAGAGTAGAGCCTTTTTTAGTACCCGAAACCCCAAACTCTTTTCCAGAGATTCAAATAAATGCATGAGCTATGGTAACCACGCCGCATCCATCGACTTTTATACGAATTTCAATTCGGAAGTTAAGAAAGCATAATTCAAGGTTTTTTAACAATTGAATAGCAGATTGACCCGGCTTACCATTTTCTTCAAAAAAATGAAAGCTGCCTGAAGTTGTATCCCGCCTTCTCTAATAAAGCCTTAACCTTCGGTGAATAGTAATGGGTCTTCACCGGTTCGGTGGCAGTGGCATCTTTGTAAGGATCTTCCTTATGAATCTGGTCTTCTCCCCAGAGGGGCTGCTCAGTCGACTGGTAGAACAAGGTCCCATGCCTCCCGGCCAACTAGGATGGGACAGTTTTCAGGTCTTGCACAACCGATACCTCCTTTGCTATAGATTTGGTGAGCCCATCAGGAGTGCGCATCGTCTGGACCTCTTTTCGGGGAAGAATTCCATTTCTAGAAGTTCCCTCTCGTATGTCACCTTACTCACTTAGGGCCTTTGGACGACTAAGTCAGCTCGGCTTCTCTTTCTGAATCAGATTCACTTCCGACGTGGAGCACACTTGACCCTGCGTCACTTGATGTATCATCGAGGAAGAAAAACCTCTTCTGATTCTGCGTTGCTTGCTGCATCGAGAATAGCTTTTCCTTCTGAACCTTCGTCATTCTTTGAAGAGGGAATTGCTGATGATTCCGGCCGGCTCTGTAGTTTCGAGGCTGGCTTAGATCTTTCTGCCGTTTTGGGGAACATCTTGGCCTTCACTTCTGCTTTGGTTGGCTCCCTTTGAGGGGTCGCAGGGGCAGAAGGCTGACCGACGAACCAGGGTCCAACAGGATGCGATTGACCTTGTGATTGTCAATCTCCCCAATCACTTGGGACGATTGTGTTCAGTTGTTTTCAACATGAGGTCGTCGTTAGTGAAGGTGACAGCAGCCGAATACTGGGCATACAAGGCCTCCTTCATGTTCACCTCAGCGAAGTGGCTTTGATATTTGTCAGGATCCAGCAGCGCCTGGACAAACGCAGTCCTGATATCGGATGACAGCATCAGGGCATCATACACGCCGAGGAGGGCTGGAATCTTCTTCAGGTTTTAGAGGTTAGAGCAGCAGCATGTACTCTTTTGAGATAGCATTTGGTCTTAGGATTGGTACTGACCAAGTGATCAGAGGGCTCAAGGGTGCAACGTGCTAGACCTAAGACTTCAACAGGAGTGATTGAGTTTCCTAATCTTTTGGGAAAACTTTCACTACCTTCTGGAAAGAGAGTTCCTCTCTCCGTTACACCCATAGTGGAGTATGCCCATTCTTACCTTTTAAGTGACAAAGGAGGTGAAGGTACTCCATTTTACTGGACCGCCTTACTAATAAAGGGGCTTTTCTTATGAAAGAAAAAGAACTCCCCTTGAGGGCGAACTTGTTTCACGGGACCGCCTAAAGAGACTCCTGGTGTTAAAACAACTATGTAACTTAATGAAGGACTATGGCAGAAAATCCTTAGGCCCTTTTAAGCCCTCTTGGCAGACTATGACCAATTCCAGATCATAAGGGAAAATCAGCTCTATGTGACATAGAGCTGATTTTCCCTTATGATCTGGAATTGGTCATAGTCTGCCAAGAGGGCTTAAAAGGGCCTAAGGATTTTCTGCCATAGTCCTTCATTAAGTTACATAGTTGTTTTAACACCAGGAGTCTCTTTAGGCGGTCCCGTGAAACAAGTTCGCCCTCAAGGGGAGTTCTTTTTCTTTCATAAGAAAAGCCCCTTTATTAGTAAGGCGGTCCAGTAAAATGGAGTACCTTCACCTCCTTTGTCACTTAAAAGGTAAGAATGGGCATACTCCACTATGGGTGTAACGGAGAGAGGAACTCTCTTTCCAGAAGGTAGTGAAAGTTTTCCCAAAAGATTAGGAAACTCAATCACTCCTGTTGAAGTCTTAGGTCTAGCACGTTGCACCCTTGAGCCCTCTGATCACTTGGTCAGTACCAATCCTAAGACCAAATGCTATCTCAAAAGAGTACATGCTGCTGCTCTAACCTCTAAAACCTGAAGAAGATTCCAGCCCTCCTCGGCGTGTATGATGCCCTGATGCTGTCATCCGATATCAGGACTGCGTTTGTCCAGGCGCTGCTGGATCCTGACAAATATCAAAGCCACTTCGCTGAGGTGAACATGAAGGAGGCCTTGTATGCCCAGTATTCGGCTGCTGTCACCTTCACTAACGACGACCTCATGTTGAAAACAACTGAACACAATCGTCCCAAGTGATTGGGGAGATTGACAATCACAAGGTCAATCGCATCCTGTTGGACCCTGGTTCGTCGGTCAGCCTTCTGCCCCTGCGACCCCTCAAAGGGAGCCAACCAAAGCAGAAGTGAAGGCCAAGATGTTCCCCAAAACGGCAGAAAGATCTAAGCCAGCCTCGAAACTACAGAGCCGGCCGGAATCATCAGCAATTCCCTCTTCAAAGAATGACGAAGGTTCAGAAGGAAAAGCTATTCTCGATGCAGCAAGCAACGCAGAATCAGAAGAGGTTTTTCTTCCTCGATGATACATCAAGTGACGCAGGGTCAAGTGTGCTCCACGTCGGAAGTGAATCTGATTCAGAAAGAGAAGCCGAGCTGACTTAGTCGTCCAAAGGCCCTAAGTGAGTAAGGTGACATACGAGAGGGAACTTCTAGAAATGGAATTCTTCCCCGAAAAGAGGTCCAGACGATGCGCACTCCTGATGGGCTCACCAAATCTATAGCAAAGGAGGTATCGGTTGTGCAAGACCTGAAAACTGTCCCATCCTAGTTGGCCGGGAGGCATGGGACCTTGTTCTACCAGTCGACTGAGCAGCCCCTCTGGGGAGAAGACCAGATTCATAAGGAAGATCCTTACAAAGATGCCACTGCCACCGAACCGGTGAAGACCCATTACTATTCACCGAAGGTTAAGGCTTTATTAGAGAAGGCGGGATACAACTTCAGGCAGCTTTCATTTTTTTGAAGAAAATGGTAAGCCGGGTCAATCTGCTATTCAATTGTTAAAAAACCTTGAATTATGCTTTCTTAACTTCCGAATTGAAATTCGTATAAAAGTCGATGGATGCGGCGTGGTTACCATAGCTCATGCATTTATTTGAATCTCTGGAAAAGAGTTTTGGGGTTTCGGGTACTAAAAAAGGCTCTACTCTACCCAGCTTTTATCCCGTAGTTGCATTTCTCTCCCGGTTATTAAATAATAAGCCCTATTTGATCTAGTAAGGGAAGGGGTCTTTCTAAAGGTCACAAAGAAAGGTTCCTGGAATCTCATTTTGTTGGCTTAGCATTCGCATGCCACTCCCAATCCGACGAGAGAAAGGAAGAATTCATTCTTGCACTAAATAGTATCCGTTTGTAAGGAGTGTGTGAGCGACCCCTGAAAGTGCACTGAGAAGTAGTGCATTTATTCTCTCCCTTAGAGTCGGGGAGCATGAGGTGAGTCATAAGCCTGGACAATGAGAAGCACATGCCTTAGCTTATGGGTAAAATAAAGAAAAAAGTGTGCTTCTTCCCCTTTTGGGCACTAATGTGTGTGGTGCCCCTCTATTCACGTAATAGACTATTGCTATTAGGTTGTTCATCCTTTTCACATGCATACAACTCGGTATAGAAATGCCAGGCTCAAAAGCATTCGAGCATCTCTTTTTTTGAGTAGCTGCAAGTGAGCCTTATTTTTTTGATTAGTCTTAGTAAAATCGCTGTCTTGATCTAAATATAGGCCTTTAGGCTAAGATATCAACGGAGAGTTCTTTCTTAATGGGATGAGGGGAATAAGTAGCTGATCAAGAGAGATGTAAGAAGCAGGCTGTACTGCAATCTAACTAAGGGGTGTGTGGGATCCGGCAAAAGAGGCGCGTTCTACTATACTATTGTATAAACCACCAGCGTCCATTACAGCACCTTCGCCCTACATACATAAGGGAATCGAGGTTTGGAACCCCTTTTCTATTCGAATGAGAAAATCCGAGCATCCGCCGAATTGGTAAGGCAGACGTATCAATCCAATCCATACGATTCATTCATTAATAAATTGACGGGTGTGAAGACCGGGCAAGGTTGTGCTATCCCCTTGTTCAGCCCTACAAAGTAAGCTCTCAAAGTCCTACCTTATTATTCTTCTTGGATTTCAAATTTCATGATTGTAAAGGAAAAACCTACTTAATGGATAGAAATGTGGTGATCGATCAAGTCTATGCTACGGGTAGATTTGTACATGAGAAGGAGCCCCCCTTAAAAGAACACCAGCCACTTCTGTCTAATATAAACCACGCTTTCCCTCCCTCAAAACAATGCTCCTCTCGCTCAAAAAAAATGAGCATACTCCATACATATCCGAAGTGAATTGGCTGAAAGACCCAGAAGTCTAGTCTAGAGGGTTTTAGGATAGGAATAGACAGGATTCATTTCATATCCAGTACAAATCTAATCTAATCTGATCCCAGGGAATAAATACATTTCTGAATTTCCTATTTTCACACAAATTTAGCTCTTTCCTACGTTGCTTTCTGGGGCTCATCTAAGTGATGTGCGCGGTACAAAGGCCTATCAATCAGGTAAGCTCGGAACTCTTTTGATTCATCCTATCGGCTCTGCTCATCCCAAATAGATATGATATCTTCCAGATTTTTGAATATAAATTCAGCCCTTTTTTATTCCAGAATAGAATACGAATGAGAGTCCAGTTACTCTCTTTCATCGAAAACAGAACGTAATAATATTATTGAATATCTGGAGCAAACATAATCTAAGTGAAGATTCATTCAATGAGCATCCTTTATTTCATAGAAATTGGGGGCAATAGAATCTCCTTGCGTAGGGAGGGCCAACCGATCCAACTTTCAGGCATCAAGATAGGTTTCAGGCGTGGATGAAACTCATAAGAGATTCCCGTTCTTGAAAATCTGCACTTTTCAAAATCCAGAAAACAGACGGGATTCTAGGATTCGATTCGCAAAGACTTATTTGCATACCTATTCCGGTTGATCCACACCATACTGTATTCTCGTAAGATGATACACACTAGCTAACAATCCGCCTGGTGCTACATCATAGGCACACTGGGAACGTAGATAATTGTAACCATATACATATGAAATGAGAGCAATGGAGTACCTATAATATTAATGTTGGGCTTTATTTGTCAAGTCAATCTTCCTTTGTAATCGAAGCCCAAAGATCTATGAACTAGCTCATGCTTGACTAGCCAAGCAGATGAACGACTAGCATTCCTTCACGTCCCACATTTCTTTTCTTTTATGAGTATTTCACATTTACGATGAAATTTATGAAGATTGACCCGTTGTTTATTATTCCGCACAAAAACATCCTGCCTGATTCACTAATTCGTGGGAAGAGACTGAACTCTGGTATTTGAAAAATGCTTCAGAAGGTATCTTTGAAGTAGATGGCGATTGATAGAGCCATCCTTGATCGTCATTTCCAGTATGAGTACTGCGTCCAACATGATAGTTTTTATGGGTAGTAAAACATCGAACTTCCTGTTGGGACCCTTTTCATAGATTTATCGAGATACCTTCTTACGAAGTTTCGTTATAGCATCTATAACTTCCTCTTGTTTAGGTGGGCAGCCCGGCAAATAGACATCCACAGGAATTTGCTTATCGACTCCCCGCTAAGAATCGGTACTGAATGAACATCCCTCCTGTAATAGTAAAGGTCCACATAGCAATGAAAGATTTTTGTTCAGGCATTAGTTCATAGTTTCTTACTAAAGAAAGAGCCATTTTCATTGTGCCTATCTATTTCTATTATGGCCGGCTGATTATAACATATTAAATATATTTGATTGATAGTGTTGAAGAAAAAAATACATTTTTTTTTATTATAGCACATCACTATTGAAAAAACTAGATAAGGAAACCAATTAATTTGAAAACTAAAACTCTTAAATTTAAATTTTTATATTAAAACTCTTTCTTTTTCTCTCTCTTTATATATATATATATATATATATATATATATATATATATAATATATATATATATATATATATATATATATATATATATATATATATATAATCCGTGTCTGAATGCATAATACAATTTAAAAATCGAGTACCCAAAAAATTGAGACATTATATCAAAACGTGATAACCATTTTTTTT